GAAACCGCAAAAAAACCGAAACAGCCGTAAAACGCGAACTAGTCACGACTAGTTCGCCCACGGGCGAACTAAGCCGAGCTGGCTTAGTTCGCCAATGGGCGAACTAGGAGACACTCGACTAGTTCGCCCATTGGCGAACTAAGCCGGCCCGGCTTAGTTCGCCAATGGGCGAACTAGGATCACTCGACTAGTTTGCCAATGGGCGAACTAGGATCACTCGACTAGTTCGCCCATCGGCGAACTAAGCCGGCCCGGCTTAGTTCGCCGATGGGCGAACTAGAAACTTCCTTATGTCCCGAGCCTTGGTCTCCCGCATTACCGATTCGAAACTTACGTCCTTCGACACGGTCGCATTCTGAACCATGGCCGAAACATCTCCCGTTCCATCTCGATCCGACCTATCGTTCGAGTTTTACGATAAAAACCGTAAAACTTCGCTTTCTCGATAGAGAACTCGAAGAAATTGTATAAAACGGCGACGGTTGACGAAACACCGAACATTTCCTAAAACATACGATTTATTCTAGATTTCTCGTCGAAGTCGTAAAAAAACGCGTTTTTAATAAAAACGTCGAGTAAATCGTAAAAAACGCGTTTTTAATTAAAAAGTCGAGTAAATCGTAAAACCTTACGATTAGCTCGAGGAATTTATTAAAATCGACGTCAGATCAGAAAACGATCCCGTAAAAAGTCAGAAAACGGATTTATTGCAAAAACGGTCCGGAAGGGTCTAAAACGCGATAAAAACCCATCTCGCGATCTTAACGGAATCTAACCCGCAGATTTGATAATGTTTTGACGGTTTACTCGCAGAAGGAAAATAAAAGTCAAGTTTGAAGATAAAAGGAAGGTCTGAAGAAAAATAGAAGATTTCCGCGGAAGAAAAGGAAGGATCGAGAAAAATGGAAAATTCCCGATATAGTCAAATCTGGGCGAAATGGAAAGACCGGATGGCCAAGGCGAGGAGTATATAAATAAGAAGTCTAGGGCAGAAGCAAGATACGAGATTCAGAGCTCTCACCACCAAAATTAGCATTTAGGAATATTTCCGTTTTTCTGTTAGCGAGCTGCGTCTCAATTAGGGTTTTTCGTTCTTAAGTTTTCGGCTACTCTCTTTGTACCAGTTCTACGCAGATTCGGAATAAGAACCTCTTTTCTCTCGATTTTCGTTTATCCTTTTAATAATTCTAAGTTTCTCGTTGTCTTAATCTTCGTTGTGCGGTTCTGCAGATAGCTGGTTCCTCTGGAAACTTAGGGTTTTCCCGAAGTTTCCTTATTTACGATTATTTGACAGTAGGTGGATTTCGACACCCACAATATACCATGGTTTTGACCTAGTTTTAACCATGGTATTTATATGATTTTATAATATATATATATATATATATATATATATATATATATATATATATATATATATATATATATATATATATATATATATATGTTTTGGAGTCTATTAGCACTACAAGAAATATGGGTATTAGTAGCAGTTCACGGTAGCACGAATTCACGAACTGCTACCAAAAACATAAAAATCGGATCACAACTCTACCGTAGCATTAAATACGCGCTAAGAAAGAATTTCATTAAAGGGAAGTGGGAAAATCGATTTTGTAACTGAAATATCATATTTTGGAGGCAAAACACTTAGGTAAAATTTTATTTTTCCGCCACTTAAACAAAAATTTTGTTTTTTCTTTCCAAAGAAAAAAAAAATCATTCATCCCTCTTCTCTATCTTTCTTCTCCTCCATTAACAGATCAGATTTCTCTCTCTTTAGGTTTTCTATCTTAAACTTCGACAAAACAAAGCCATTTCTCAATCAATTGAAACTCCAAACCCGAGTTACCATTACCTCAATCCCACCCCTGGTATCTCAATCTGAACCACGACTTCTCAAAGCCGCGACACCACCTGGTCCCTGCTCGTTCCACGCCGTGATTACTCCGAGTTGTCCCGTCTTCTCCTTCCTCGTGGCTGACTTCATCCCCTCGACGATTCACGCTGTCGTCGTCACTATCCTGCTCAACCGTCAACCGTCGCAATTCTCAGCTAATAGTAATGCCCATCTCGAGCTCCAATCATCATCTGCTATCCCTCTACCGGCATCGTTGGGCTCCAGATCCGGAGAGAGAAAGCTTCGACCCTCTCCAATGGTGGAGTTTTACGTTTTTGGAAGACAGGTCCCTCAACTTCTGCTTGTTTCTGATCTTTGTTTCTAGAGCAGCCCGAGTTTGAAGATGGTTTTAACCACGAGTTTAAGCAAATATTTGAGAATTTTAACTTCAGGGAACTTGATTCCTTTTGAGGTAAGACTCTTTTGATTCTTGAAACTGGAAAGTTCTTGTCTTTATAGCTAAAAAGTCAATCTGTTTTGGTAAGCTGCTTGTGTGTGTGCGTTTTGTTCTTACATTATGTATTATTGTATAAATATCACATTGTATGGTATCGTTGTGAGATTTAGTTCAAAATGGTTTCTCTGTCTTTGATTGTTCTACTAGGTGTTTCCCTATTTTCAGAGAACAAAGTTATAGATGAATCTCATAGCTTGAATGTTAAGGACAGAGTCACAAAAACCCAGATTTGGGATACTGCTGGTGAAGAAAGGTTTCTTCTCGATCTGTGTACTGTGTTCTTTACTTCTTTGTTGATCCTCAAGAACTGAATTGAAAGTTTAAATCTTTTGCTGTAGATTGGTAGAGAACTCTTACATTCCTGTGTGTTGTTCTGTATGAAGAGCTTAAGCAAGCTTTAGATCTGTCTCTGTAGGTTTTTGACATATGAAAATGATATAAAGTTTTCATTTTTATTGATTATTTTGACCAATGAGTGCTTAATATATAGTTAGTAGAACAAAATTATGGCTTTGAAGTTTCTGTTCCAGTTATGATTTGTGAGTTCTGATCTTTTTGGCATTGCTTTTCATTGTGTTCGTCTCTGTATCTATGGACGTTTGGGATCGTATGTATCTAGGGATGCTCTTTATACTTTGATAATTGTTACAATGCAATGCAAGCTGAGATCCATGTTTCGTTCTTGCTCTCTTTATGATCTTTTATGCAACTTTCATGTGACTATTTCCCAAGTATGAGGGTGATATTAATCTGATATCTAGCGTTGGTGGCTCTCTTGTTGCCTATTTTTTAAGTTTTCTGTTACCAAAATAAGCTTTTGTGAATTCTCTGTGACTTGCACTCTTTCGTTTGTATTGAGAAACTTCATTGCTTCTACATATTGATAAACAATTTGATAGCTTATACCAAGTTTGATGGGTTTCTTCTTCTTGCAGAAGAGATATGGCGTTGTTCAAGGCTATATAAAGAGAGACATAGTGATGTTGTTTTCATTGTTGGTGGAGCTCTTAGTTTAGATCAGTCCTTGTCAAATGGCCTGAATGACAAATGCTTTTTGTTTCTTATGGTCTTTTTTTCTTTGTGTTCTTGAAGGGTATTGTAAGAAATGGATAACGTCAGTTGATTGTCTGCTGATGAGGTTGCCTAAACTTGGTCATTCATAGATCTCGCTGTCTACGTAAGCTGGAGGTTTCTTATTCATGGTTTCTTATTCATGGTCTACGTAAGAGAGCTGCTAGTTACACAAAGCTAGGAGCATTGCCAGAGGGATTGAAAGATGCTGAGAAATGTGTGTCTTTGATTGATTCATGTGTTTGGAGTGATTATTTAAACGATTTAGCTCGTTTACTTGATGAGATAATAATTAATCTACTTGTGTGTTTATTAGTATATATAGATTCCAAATCAAATTCCATATATATATTTCTTTTTCAACAATCAAATTCCATATATAAACTCCAAATACTTGTGTTTTATGAGATAAAGAAAATTTAACACTAATGATAAATTTGATAAACACAATAATAATATTTTTTACTTAATGTTCTAAACCCTAAACATGCCCTAAACCCTAAATACAAGCTTTAACATTTATATTTTTAAACTGAAATTCATAAATATAAACCTCTAAATTTTATCTTTTAACTCCAGACTTTGTTATTAAACATTAAAGCCATTGTTTACATAAATATAAATTAAACACACAATCTGTAATTTTCAATTTAAAAATACAAAATAAATATAATCAATAGTTAATAAGTATATAAATATAAATTCTATCAAATTCTTACATAAGTTAATTTTCAAATTTAAAATCTTAACCTCATACTTTACATATCTAAACTCTAAACCTATAATCTAAAATTTATATCAGACTTCAAACCCTTCAAACCCTAACACTAGTGTTGTGATATATGGTGTGTATATATATCATAATATCATATATACATATATCATAACTCAAATTACATAAAAAATAATAATCTTAACTTTCAAATATATTTTAAAACTCAAACCATATACTTAATTTTAAATCTTTAACTCTAAACCCTAAACCACAAATCTCATATCAAACTATATCATAAAACATTAGTATTTTAATTTTAACTATTTTAATCAATCACACAATATGTCAAAATTTTGATACAAATTTTAGATTTCAAATTTAAATTATAATATCAGATTCTTTATAGTTTTAGATAGTTTTTATAATAACTACTACAAATAAATAAAAAGACATTTTGTCTTGTTTTTATTGAGCCATGATCAAATTAGATCAAAGGTCCACAATAAATCTTCTATCAATCCTCCTCCTTTGTTCATATTGGCTAGGCGCGGATCACAATTTTTCACCGTTAGATGGTATCTAATCTAACGTCTGAGATTAATTGCTTTTTTCATTTTTTTAAACCTAAAATTTAATCGCTAGTGTAGCTCCTCACCTCTTCTTCTTCTCTCTTTCTTCCTTTTCTTTTTTTCTCCGTCTCTCTCTTTTCTTCTCAGATCTCTTTTTTTTTTGAGATCTATCTTAACCTCACTCACACACGATTCATCTCACTTACATCTCTCTGTCTTACTCTCCTAATCTCTCTGTCTCACATACGACACATCTCCAACCATCTTCAGAAAGGCAGAGGAAAAGCGATGTTAAAGGCACGACAGATTCGTCGCTGGTCAAACTCTGCGTTGGCTTCTTCTCGTCATGTTATATATTATGATTGACTTTTGTTTTGTTTACAGATTTATTAAGGAGCAAGGGAAGGAGAAGCAGTGGTGTTACATAGCGACGCCGGTCAAGCGTGGTGCAGCGGTGGTTCAAGCCGGTGATGAGGTGGTGGTCGTGCGGTGGAGATGCGAGTATCATGGTTGGCGGATACTGAAGAAGAATGTAGTTTAGTGGCTGTATTAGGTTTAGTTAGGGTTATTAGTTAACCAATATGTAATTGTAACCAAAATTCAATTTATAAAGCACAAATTTATTTATGTTAAAAAAAAAATACAAATTTATTATTTTTTATCAACTAAACGTTTTATTTATAAATTAGACCAGATTAAATCTTAATAATAATAATAATAATAATAATAAGAAATTTTAATTTTTTTCTGCAAACGATATATTAATTTTAATATCCATAGCATTGAAAATATGTCTTTATAGATTATGTTATAGCTAAATGAAAACGCCATAGAAAATAATATAGTAGCCAAAATAAAGTGCTAGTAAAACAATTTAATATAGTAATAGATAAATGATATAATATCTCTACTTTTTATAGCATACGAAAAAACGCTATGATAAAAAGGAGATCTACCATAGCTGCGGCTGTCACGGCGTTCTTCGAAACGCTACGAAAACCTTAAGATAGTGTTTTTCGGGTGCTATCAATACCAATATTTCTTGTAGTGTAGATATGTTTTCAGCTTCAGGAGCATTTTGGAGTAAAGTGATGATTTAGGTGCCCTTATGAGCTTAAAGGAGAGTTTTCCCGAGATGACTATAAAGATCAGACAACAAGGTTGATATCCATAGATACATATCGATCGATACATATCCTGTGTAATCGATCGACGACGCTTCCTTAGAAGATGACAGATTGAGATACTCCACTGATCGATGTACGCCATGTACCATCGATCGATATGAAGCGTGAAGAACAAGTTTGACTCGGCCTTGAAGCCCAAGTTCTCGCAATATTACAAGATTGCCCCTCACGAGTTTTTAACCTATTGGAACTAATATTTATAGTTATGCCTATGTGTTTTGGCTAGACATGCTTTTTACATTTGAATGCTTTTTGTGCTCTTAGTTCTTTGATTTATAAAAGTATTTTTTTCATCTTATTCTCATTTTCATAAAAGGTTATAGAGTTCTAGATTTAGAAGAACACACAAAGATATTTGTTGTTTAAAAGAACCAATAGTTCAATCTTCTAATATTATGAATTTCTATTCTTACCTTGATGCTATGAATCACTTAGCCATGTCTGAGTAGATTCACTTTTTAGATTTAGGGTTCAAATAGTTATCAGGATTAGCCCCAACTATGGATTGTTGAGTTGTGATATTCATTATCCTGATGAACCCTAATGCTTACTCTAGAGTAGCTAACTAGAGTATGATCATGGAATGATTTAACTTGTTAATCATCATCCTGAAATCATCTGGTATAAGCTGAGATGCTCTAGGGACGAACGAGAGCCGGTCAATGATCTTGGTGAACACATATTCAATTCGATCCGAAGCTATATTGATCGATACTCCTATAGAGTAATCGATCGACGGCAACCCATATCGTCCGATATCGCTGTCAAACCATCGGTCGATATAGCTGGCAGTCAGATCAATGGACGAGTCTAATAGCGATTGCTAATAGGCTTAACTAAGAGTTGAAGTTCTTTAATATCTTGCAAGAAACTTATAAAGACATCTGTAGCATTATAATCCTGATTATATGAATAGCAACCTTGAATCTAACTACTTTCTTTTATGGTTTAAAATCCAAACCAATTCTCTTGAGCAACTCAACATTGCTCACAACTGCAATTTACTTTTAAAACCTTAATCAACCTAGCATAATCACTTAGGATTATATCTTTTGTGTTCCTTAGTTCCTTGTGGATTCGATCCCTAAGTACTACAACTGAACCTCTTATTTGAGAGAGTAATTCACTCCTTAAGGTAATTTGAGTGATATCAAATTTGGCGCCGTTGCCAGGGAACTAAGATCGCCATTTTAGGTACTACAACTGAACCTCTTATTTGATTAGGTCTAGGTTAGTTGTTACTGCTTAATCATCTTCTGACACAAAATTTTATTTTCTTGTCTTTTTCAGGTACATGCCCAACAGTACCAGAAGCAACAAGAACAACCAACTTGTGTACTCAGAAGACCCCCACAGTCTGGAACGTAGCATCCGCAGAGACTTACGTTCCGCATCGATCGACATTAACAACAGTTCGTCGACCGATGCTAGCTTACCACAGTCGACCGAGACACCTTCTTCGTCAACCGATACTCGCACCCTTCCATTGATCGACATCAACAACCGTACGTCGACCAAAATCTTTCATCCGACATCGATCGATATACCTCATCTTACATCGATCGATACTTACCGGCGAGACATGGTAGCGACTATTATTCTCACTGCTGATGAGAATGGAGACCTGCGTGATCAAGATTGTCACCTGCGTAATGCAGCAGGTCAGAAGCTGAATGCTCAGAAGGAGATCATTCTTGAGCAAGAAACTGCACCTACATACCTCATTCAACCCGTAGAAGAGGCTAACAGAGCTAGAACTTTGGCTGACTACCACCGCCCGGATCAATTTATACCAACCGATCAGCCATCCGCCCTCCTGCTATTCAGAGAGGAGATTTCGAGCTCAAGCCGCAGTACTACACACTTGTAGGAAAAATACCCTTCTGTGGGTTGTCCCATGAGCATCCTATGGACCATCTGGAGAGGTTCGAGGATCTCATAACCGTCATAAAAGCCAATGGAGTCCCTCAAGACTATCTTCTCTGCAAGCTTTTCAAATAATCTCTATCTGGAGAAGTTTTGCAGTGGCTGAGACAACTACCACCAGGTTCTCTCACAACCTAGAGCGACATCAAAAACGCATTTCTGCGTAACTTCTTTGATGACTCACTCGCTGAAGAATGGAGGAGGAAAATTGCTACATTCACTGATGATCCTGGAGAATCATTTAAAGACACATTAACATATTCAAATCCTACCAGCGAGATTGTCCACACCACAGATTCAACAACGTGCAACTGCTCTACACTTTCTACAGAGGCATCACTCTGAAGTATCAGATGGCTCTTGACACAGCTAGTGAAGGCAATTTCACCACCAGAAATCCGCAAGAAGCTGTGAAGTTGATTGATAACCTAGCTTCAAGCAACAACACAAAAAACACTGTGAAGACAAAAGCTACATCATTTCTCGGGAAGGAACAGATTAATGAAGTGCAAGCACAGCTGGATAATGTTCAGAAGTTACTAAACAAGCAGATTTGCTCAGTGGAGGATGCAGAAACTGCAGCTGAAGAAGAATACACAGAAGAAGATGTGAACTGGATCAGTGGAACTGGTTTCCAGAGGTCTGGTAACCAAGGAGGATACAAAAAATTTGCAGGACAAAAAAACAACTTCAACCAAAGTTCACAGAAGTCTACCAACTACAGCAGCAGCAACCTCAACAACAACATGAGTTATGGGAACTCATTCTACACAAATCCACCCCCCACCCACCCAAGACAATAAACTAGAAGAGATGCTGGACAAAGTTTTGGAGAGTAAGCAGAAACTTCAGATGGACTTCAATGGAAAGATAGATTATGTCTACACCAACCTCAAAACCAAGCTTGATGGCTTAAGCACCTATGTGAAGAAGTTGGAGACTCAGGTGGTTCAAACATGCGAACCACTAAAGAATCAAGAAGTTTTAGCAAAAGGAATGGGAGATTTTGCTACTCTCCATGATGTGCATGCCATCCTGGATGATGACTTTTGGCAAAAGCTGCAAGATTCTGAGGATGACAGTGAGACCGACTTTGATCGACATGATGACTCTCCCATCGATCGACATGAAGACCGTGATATCGACCGACCACTTGCAGTCATTATCGCCCGATACACCGTACCCCAACGTCGAGTGCAACTTCCAAAGATCGACGTTGCACGACTTGGTGCACTCCAGGAGCAGTCTAAAACTTCCAGTAACCTCCTCACCACCATCACGAAGAGACCCACAGCATCTTTGAGCCTATGGAGATAGAAAAGGAAAATCATGGAAGAGTTCTCAGAAAAAAGGAAAGAGAAGATCCCAAAGCCTTATAAAAGGGAAGCTAATGAAAAAGAATTGCCAAGCTTCAGAAAGAGAGTTCTGGGAATACCTAAAGAGAAACCCTTTGAAGAAGCCTACTTTTCACACAGATTGTGGATGTTTTTTAGAGAAACCAGAGTGACAGAAGAAGACATCAAGAGAATGTTTCACCAAGTCAGAGACAGTCTAAAGAAGCAGATCACACTGGAGAAGAAGAGCGATCCAGGGAAGTTCACAATACCATGTTCAGTAAGAGGTGTTAAGTTCCCTCGTGCCCTTTGCGACACATGATCAGGAGTTAGCATCCTACCCAAGATCATGGCAGATCATCTAGGTCTGAAGATAGAGCCTACTGAAGAATCTTTCATCTTTGTGGATTGTTCTCAGCTGCAATCTGGAGGCATAGTTCGAAACCTCGAGGTACAGATTGGAGATGCCCTAATTCCTACAGACTTCCACGTTCTGGAAAACAAGCTTAACTTCAAGACATCTCTACTGCTTGGAAGGGCCTTCTTAGCAACAGTTGGAGCTGTTTGTGATCTGAAATCCAATAAACTCTGCCTAACCCTCATTGACCCTACCATCCACTACAATCCTGTTCCAAGGACAGAGAGCCTAGCACTCGTAGCAACTTGTTTCTGTGCCCACGAGTATGATTCAATGGATGAGTACGAGAAAGAGCAAGACGTATCGACCGACGAAAGCCTTCTACCATTGACCGATACCAGTCAACCGGATTCGACCGATGAGCATACCTGGCAATCGATCGACAGGCTATTCCAAGAGATCGAAGAGGAGTTTCAAGAAGGCGATTTTAACGCAGATGATTTGGAGAACGATCATTACATCCCAGAACTGGCTAGTATCACTACTCAGAAGGAGTATGATGAAGATTATGAAGAGGAACGAGCCACAGAATCTTCGAGAAGATGAAGAAATACCTCCTCTACCGACCTTCATCTTCAGAGCATCCGATCGACAAAGACCACTCTCCATCGACCGATATGCACCAACCAAGATCGGTCAAACGACGTTTCGAATCAACGAGCGACAACCTGTATGT